CCCTTTCCCTTCCCCGTCCCGTCCCGTCCCGTCCCTTCCCCCGCCCCTTTTCCCTGGCTTATTCTTTCAGGATTGTGCTTGTATCCTGGCTTACCATGACTAGGTCCTTCTTCTCTAAGAGGTCTAAGTGCAGTCCAGTGGTAACTACACAGAAGGAGGAAGGGTAGCACAGTTGTGTTCTCAAGGGTATATATGGGGAAAAAGTCTCAGTGTAGGCAGTTTCTCATGATGCTCTGACTGATGAATTAACTAATATAGTTCAGAATACGAGAGTTGATCGCTCTGATAATTTGGAGCCTGAAGTGGTTTTGGTTTTTTTTGTAGCAAACTTTTTTTTTTTTAGGTTGAACAGTTCATACCAACTGCAGGTGGGACTCGTGTCACCTAACTCTAGTTATCTTAAAGTTAAGTGAAGTGCCCTTTTTTAGCTAACTGTCTAGACACTTGTCATGGTTTAACCCCAGCCAGCAACTAAGCACCACACAACCGCTCACTCACCGCCCCCCCATCCAGTGGGATGGGGGAGAAAATCGGGGAAAAAGAAGTAAAACTCATGGGTTGAGAGAAAAACGGTTTAATAGAACAGAAAAGAAGAAACTAATAATGATGATGACACTAATAAAATGACACCAGCAATAATGAAAGGATTGGAATGTACAAATGATGCACAGTGCAATTGCTCACCACCCGCGGACCAACACCCAGCTAGTCCCCGAGCAGCGATTCCCTGCCCCCACTTCCCAGTTCCTAAACTAGATGGGATGTCCCATGGTATGGAATACACCGTTGGCCAGTTTGGGTCAGGTGCCCTGGCTGTGTCCTCTGCCAACTTCTTGTGCCCCTCCAGCTTTCTCACTGGCTGGGCATGAGAAACTGAAAAATCCTTGACTTTAGACTAAACACTACTGAGCAACAACTGAAAACATCCGTGTTATCAACATTCTTCACATATGGAACTCAAAACATAGCACTGTACCAGCTGCTAGGAAGACAGTTAACTCTATCCCAGCTGAAACCAGGAGAACACTCTATCGTCAATGAAGAAATAGAGGCACTTCAAGAGTGTGATTCATCCCATCCTAAGATAGATGTCTAAGCTGGGATGAATTGGAAGTAGCTGTCTTTCTCCACCAAACAGCAGGAGAGCACTGACAACTGGTTAGACAAAAAGCAGCTAAAGATGGCGAGATGGTCCCTCTGAGCTATTGATATATCTCTTATCCCTCCCTCTCTGTTGTTTCAGTGATTTGAGAGATGAGTAACATTTTTCAGGATTTGCCAGATAGGGCAAATTTGTTAAATAGATGTTAGTATCAAATCTACTAAGTTCAGGAGTACATAAGGCAGAAAATAATGTATACAGTTCCACTGAACCCATGCATAGACAGTCTGTGCTTTGTTTTGATTTGTCAAACAGTAGCTTGAAGAGCAAAAGCTGATGGGTAAAGCATTGTACGTATTTCAGGTTGGGCTCAGCCTAGAAATCGACATCCACCCACAGTGAAGACTCCACTTGGTTACTCCTCTGTACAAACAATGTCACAGCGACACTTCAGAGCTATCCTGTCACTTTCTCGTTTCTTTTCTGAAAAGTAAATATTCTAGCTGAAAAACAAATTAACTACATGATGGGTGTATAATATATCTCAAAAGTAACTTGAATGGAAAGCATTTCAAGCTTGCAGAAATATTAGAGAAGTTTAATACCATATGAATGGTTTTCTCAATAAAATTCAGAATACATATCCATTAGAACATTAATGAAGGTTGAAACTTTTCTGAACGGAATAATCAGTAACACTTTTACAGCAGAAATTCTGTGCAGTAATTTTTGTTCCTATGTGTTATTTGTGAAATTAAGGGAATATGCCATTTAACATTAAACTTAGCAAAAATGTTTCTATTTTGAGGCATACTTTATAACAGAAACAAATAAACCAAAGGCAATTATTAAGATTTCATTTGCTTCTCCAGAACTAGGCTTCTGCTGAATGTTTTTCATAATTGGACAACAATGTTTTTCAGATGACAGTGAACTCTTCACTGATAAAATGATGGACAAAACAACCATTGCTGTGATATAGGATACCATCTCTATGAAAGTTTGCTTAACAATTTAAAGGAACAAACATGTTTATTAAGCCTGCACTGATACTGGGCTGAGGTAGGAGTAAATAACACTGCCAAATTTCCATTAAGGCCTGCCCATCTCTAAAATTGTTTTCTTGGATTTTGGTAGCAATGTGAGTACGCCAGTGGACAGATACCCTGTTTCTATGATATGTTTTGATGCTTGGTTTTGTCTCTTCCCTTTGTTACTCTAGTTCAAGGAAAGGAATACCTAAGGACAGGTGTTTCTGCTAGGTCGTTAACTGAGTTTTCTTTTATTTATATTTAAAAACACTTATGCTCATTATGCTTACATTTTACAGATACCATCTTAAAGTAAGAACTGTAAGTTCTTAAAATCCCATGCTCAGTATGTATGGAAATCTGTGCTGCAAGACCACTTCTACTTGCTTAATGCATGTTAGGGTGGAAAGAGACCAGTCAGTTAACTGGTATAATCATATGCACAATGCAGCCATCTTGTCTCATCTAGTTGTTCCTTCAATTGTGCAAAACAAGACACTGTAGATGTTTCAAAACCAGAAGATTCTTATGTTTTACTTTCATTAGGACATAATTTCTGTTAGCATTCTGATTTTTGTTGGTCTTAATTAAGATGATTTCTTTCTCTTACCAAACTGTGACTATAAAGACATACACATCATGGTTATCTTTTTCATCCTTTTAATAATAATAATAATAATAATAATAAAAAACCCTGTTGCAATTACTTTTCCATTTATTATTGTGATATATATATTTATTTTTTTACAAAGGAATTTGACAAGCAGATTTCTGGAGTTCTTAATGGAGTTGAAACAATAGCCTATGCATGTCATTGTACATGCATAGTGAAATGGTGAACATAAATCACATACCCATACACACGCACACACAGAAAACAAGGCACTGTTAAGACTGTACAAGTAATAAATGACCAAGAGGTTACTGATACATTAAAAACTGAGCTCCTAATGAAAACTTTATCAGTAGTCATTTTAACACCCTGAAGCTGTGCATTGTTTTAGGGGTCTCTCCTTAAAAGCCCAGCTGTGTCCCTCTTTCCATATGTATTGGACCCCACATTCGTAGGTGAATAAATTGCTCCGATGCTGTTGCTGGAACGAACTAAAAAGTCAGCCAAGCGTTGTGTCACGCATGTAGCGGTGTTGCATTTCCGTTTCTCCAGATGGTGACTACTAAGATGAAACAAAAAGAGCCAAGATTAAGTCAAATGATGAGCAATCAAGTGTGCCACCTCTAACAGGCATTTGAGCTGTGCTAATGTGGGAGTTCTTTTAATATGTGCACAAATACAAGAACATTACAATCTTCCTACCACCTACTTTGTGCCTGAAAAAAAATCTTGCGCTGTATGCTATTATCAGTTTTAATGATGGGGGTTATTTAAATGCAAAGACCTTAACAGTCATATGTCATTTTTATTGATATTCTGCATAGCAGCTTATGACATCTAGAAAACCTGTAATGATAGTGTAGTTAAGGCAGTAAGTGAAAACAATGAATAAATGTTTAGCTTTAAGCTCAACTTCTAAATCTATTTAGAGCTCTTGCTGATATCATAAGGATTACTAACAAAATGACAATCACTAACATTTATTTAGTTCTCTTGTTCCCACAGAATCATATACTGCTCTCACTGAAGTGAACAGTAATCTTCCAGTCCACATCAAGTGGATTGAGCCCAAAGACTCTTTCGCCCATCTGTGGCGGGTGTTGCCAGCTTCTGCCAACTTCAGTACCACTTAAGATTTAGCTCTGTTTAAACAGAGATTTCTTCACTACTGAAAAGCTGTTGTGGTAGGCGATGATAATAATTTGCTTTATGAGACTTTAAAAAGTGTCCATGGAAGAGTCCATATCTAAAAATAATATTTTATTGTTTGAACCAGCAGACCATTTACAGAACTCCAGATAGAACTTATGTAGCATGGGATATTTTTTTTTTTAATCAAAGTAAAACTGTTAGCTTGGGAGAGCTTGGGTTTTCAGATTTGTTTCTCAGGCCACTATGTTGTTCCTTCAGACAGAAATACTTGCTTGCTAAGATTGCTTTTTGAGTTATTGTTAATCTTCTTGGGCTTATTCATGTTGATGGGTCATGAGGTAGACAACAGTTTGCAGCAAAAATTTACTGTGAAGAGTGACAATTTCCCAGTTTCAAACTCTGAGCAATTACCAATGAGTTCCTTTTCCTATTGATTGATTGAATCTGTTATCTAAAATGTCATCTGTTCTTTTAGAGTTATTTGTATTGATCTAAGAATCCAAATGGAATAGCAATTGTGAGAGAAATTCTTCATGATTCTTCACTGGCAAATTTCTAAGCAATTAATATTTTAAATATGTAATTGTATTTAAAGGAAATAGTTGGCTTGATATAGCCTCTCTGAGATTTCCGTGGGTTATTTCTATTGATTTTAAAAGAGTTTAATCAAGCCCTTAGCATATGAAGTTCAAAAAGCAGCTGGTTCTCATGGAAATCCTGATTTATTTGTGGAGGCAGAATTCTCTTTTTCGTTAAAGGTACAAAATCAGGCCCTGACACTCCAAGTTTAAAACTCCAGTCCTTACAGGAAGCTACTAGATTTCTAGCTGATGTCTAGCCTGACTGAACCCATTATACCTGTTAGATCTCTGATCTGTCACCGTTAATTGAATATGTGCTTCAGTGAGACAGTTCACCCAGTAAGACAGTGTATACCAAGGCCCCAGAAAAGCAGATAAGGCATACCACACTCATAAAGGTGATGCCTTGTGTTTGAGTATTACAATTGTTATTATTTTCTTTAAAGTAATAGCTGTAAAAATGTGGGAACTTAGTCTCCATTATCAAAATATTTTGGAAGATAACCAAATTGTCATATATAATAATGATTTTTTTTTTTTATAAATTCAAAGAGAAAGAAACAGGCAACTATACAGACATGTGTATTTACTGAATCTATCCATAACAGAATTGTCATTGAAAGAAATTCACTCCAAAGCCCAATGAACATAGAATAGTTCAGTGCTGTTTATCTTTTAGTACAAATTGCAAACACTTTTTGAAATGCTATTTTATTCATAAAGAAGTTACCCAAAATTGGATTTATGGATTTATAAACATGAATGCATTTCAGACAAGTTAAATTCTGTCAGAGTTGATTGCTTATTTTCCTTCTTTCCATGATTAAATTGATATTTAACTCTGTAATGAAATAATACTTACTTACAGGAAACAGTTATATTATAAAATAATTCCATTCTAGCAAAGCATTAGTGTTACTAAGAAGGGTATATATATATATTTTTTTTTTCCCCTTCAGGCCTGGAAATGTGACAAATTTAAGAAAAGTCCCTTTCAAAATACACCTTTCTTCTGAAGGCAATGTAGTATTTGTAGCCTTTCTAATTTATGTAAAGTTATTAAATGATCTACAATTTTTGTCTCTGGGTTTCACTTTCTACCCTGAATGCTTTGATCTTTAGGCTTACAGCATGGCTGTATTTACAAGAAGAAGGGTATTTTAAGCTCTTTTTGAGAATAAACATCAGACGCAAAGAGTCAAGTAACAGAATATCACTGGCACAAAGTTTACTTCATAGTTTAATCCTAGCTGATATGACTAGGAGAAACAAGGAAAATCAATACCTTTTTGTCTTTGCTGCTGGTTGTTCTGGCATTTCCTCACTAAGTCCTGAGAGTGTATTCTGTGACATTACTGGCAATATCCATCCTTGTCTCTTGGAATTACCATCAGATAGATCATCAGCCACAGATAGTAATCTTTAAACAACAATAAAATACCCTGTGAAACTGAATACCTCTATTTTTGCTTGTATTATTTGAGACATGAAAGCAAAAAAAAAAAAATTTCATGCAACAATCTGAACATGTTTTCCCCTAAAAAGAAATAAATATGGTTATTTATTACTCACTTCTCAATAGGTGTAGATTCCAAACAGCTCAGAGTGACAGAAAGTGCAATGAAGAAAACCGACAGCTTTAGGTTGCACATCTTTGCTTCCAAACTTTCTGAAAAGAATAATGATTCAAAACTGAAAGCAAACCCAAATAATCTTCAGCATATTGTATTGCTGGTGCCCATTCTGTCCTAAATCAACAGCAGCTAGTCATTTTCACAGGCTAGTGTAAAAAAAATGATCCCCCTAAGTTTAGTGACACAAAGCAGTTTCAGACAGATAGCTCTCAACAGCAAATGTTCATTTTCCATCTAGTAGTTTCAATCCTCTTTCCCTTATCTCCAGTTTGGTTTTCCTAACAAGTCTCAGTCTCAAATTCTGGTCCCAAGTGCAATTTACCTTGAAGTTATCTTAGACTTTTCCTGAAAAATGCTGTTGATTAATAATGAGAAACATTGTGCTTTCCTAAAAGCACATCTGTTGCTCTGCATCCTAAGTAAGAAAAAAAGGGAAATTGTTTACCTTTTAGTGGTCAGGGAGCTAAGTGAAGCAGCACGCCTGTGTTAGCAAGAAGGCTGCACGCAACAATTCCACACTTGCATCTAGCTCTGGAGTACCCCTTTTCTCCCTTCCTTCTGACAAATAATACGGCTCTTATATATCCTTCACACCTTTCTCAGCTCTGACATCAGGCAGCACAGAGAGACTGTCATTAATTCCCAGCCCTATAGATAGAAAGTACCCCAGAGAGGAGGAGAGGCAGAAAGGTCATTATTACATTAGCACATCAATAAATATTAACCTGGTATATGCAGGATGTCCTCATGAAGATACTGTAATAGCATATTGCACATCAGAACTGTAGCCTCAGCTTTACAGTTCTGATAAGATGCTGAGGTAATATTCCCTGTGGGTGTTTTCAAGGGCTAAATAAGGTAACAAAAGTTATAAAGAAAGCTAGAGTAGATGAAACGACAGATCACCGGTAATTCAAATATAAGAAAACAGTTATCTTAGAAAAGGTAGAATAGTTAAAGTTGTGGAGGTTTGTTGTAGAGGTATATAATGATCAAAACAGAAAAAATATTTGAAGGGATAAAAGCTGTATGAGGAATAAGAAAAGAGTGAAAATTATTGAAATTTACAGATAGGGTGATCATTCAGAGTAACAAGGTAGAAATCATGTACATTTTTCCGTAAAGTATATATATGAATGAAAATTCTCATTATTAATGTAAAATCTTATGTTTTACTAACACTGGTAGATTCTTTATGTCACACATGAAAATTGTGTCAATTAATATTCTTAAGGCGGCGAAGACTAGGATTAAAAAGCTAGGAAATGTCAAAATAAAGGCTGCCTGTGCACATTTATTTCTCTAGTGTGCACAGAGCATGGTTCAGGGAAAAATATACAGCTTTTAATAGACTAAATCCAGTGTTAATAAATTACCTGATTGCAGATTTCCAAGGATACAGATTAGAACCATTTTTTCCCAGTTTCAGTGGGAATTAGGCAAATTACTTTTTTTTTTTTTTTTTCCCCTGTCTTATTAGTTGCCTTTACGTGCCCAAATGCCTTTGGAAAACAGGTCTTTCAATTATTTATGGATGTTAAGATGCTGGCACAAAAGCTTAGGCAAAGTTTTCTGTGATAGGAAGTTATTGTACGCATCTTCCATATCCCCAGAGAACACAAATTAATTCATAACTGCTTCAATGCCAGGTACATTACCATAACTGGAAGCCCCCTGTTTTGTTGGTTTAGTCTGTAACACCAGATTTTCACCGAAATGGCTAAAGTTCCAGTGTTGGCTCTCTTCAGGCATTTGTGCTACTCGAGTTGAATACAGAAAGAATATTTAGCTGGGACAGTAGCCTCTTAACATGATACAACAGCTAGTCTGCAAATAAGGTTCTAGCAAGTGACAAAATGTTTGGGGTTTTTTTGTTCGTTTGTTTTTTTTAAAAAAGGGATGCTGCTTCTGGATATTTTACTCTCTGTTTTTAACAATACGATCATATACTTCCCCCCCCGCCCCCCCCCGTCATCCTGGATGCACAGCCCCTCTGTAAGAGAAGTAAGTATACTGTTGTTTTATCTTCATCATGACAATATGTTCTGTGCAATATCTGAAACAAGTTTATCTCTCAAAGAGTCTTCAGCTGTTATTTTCACTGTAGCATTTGACTACAACGAAATAACATTCTGGTGTTATTTTCACTGTAGCAATTTCATTCCTCTGAAATGAAGGCATGAGTAGACCCATTTTACAGAGATAGAATTGTGCTAAAAAAACAATTATGCAAATAATCTGGCTGGTGATAGACACCAGCCAATATTGACTGCTTGAATATTGAACTTGAAAATGCCTTGGTGCACTTCTTCTGAGGTGAGAAGAGATCTGGGTCCCGCTGACACTCAGTAGTGGTGTGTATGCTCAGCTCTTGTGAAAAGGCAAGCTCATGTTGTTTCAACTCCTGAAAAGCAATGGATAGATCAGATGCACTTTGCATCTAAGATTTTAAAAGATTGGACTGAATATTCAGAATCTCTTATGTTTAAGGCATCTAAGTGAATGGTGGTTCTGTCAAGCTTGCATCAAGCTATGGGTTAACATAAGAAAAGTGAAACAGGCTTTTCAAAGAAATATTGGTCCCAAATCCTAATTCCAGCTGTCCTGCAAGTGGCCTTGGGGGGACCCTCTAATGCTTTGAGGGAAGAAGAGAAAGGCTGATTCTTGAGTGTATTGTAGAAATGAAACTGGGGTCATGATGTCCCAGGACCATTGCTTGCCTCCTGGGCCATATAGCATTTTGGCAGAGTCAGCAAGAAGTCTATCCAGCTATTAGTCAGATGTAATATTAACAAAATTAAGGTATTATGGCTTCTCTTACAAGTTCTCTTAAGCAGGAATAGCGTTTTCCCGCACAAACAAGATTAGAATATGAAATTGTGGAATCTCTTTGACAGCAGAACTATTCATAACTCAAATTTCAAGAACCTGGCACTAAGTACTGTGCAGTTAGTACTATTCAATGAAGTGGTTAGAAAACTATTTTTATCACTGACAAAGTTCCTTAACCTTGATCTTAGAAAAAACCCTTTATTACTGTGCATAACAAATGTTATGAGCCTAAGGGAAAAATCAAATATTCTCAATAAAGAAACCCATGACCAATTCCATCCTGAGTAGTTACATGGTAATTTTACATATTTATACTGGTGTTTAAGTCTGTATGAAAAGATTTGTCTAAAGTATTGTGCCTGTATGAGTGTTAGGGGACGCCAGAGCTGAGGTTTACAAAGAATGTAGAAGATATGGTATGCCAATGCCCCTGTTCCTTCTGTAAACTGCATGCATAAATGTCTAGAGTTGCAAGATGGTGAACATGCTCTGCACTGTAATGTACTGGCGGCAGAGGAACAGGAAACTAGCCTCGTCTCAAGTGACTGCTGCTTTTATATACTGGGGAGTGGGATTTATTTGACTAAATGTGAGATGAATAGAGAGACCATTCTAGTGCCTGTTTCTAATGCAGAAGTCTAAAATAGCTTAGATGATTTGTGCCTCTTTCTCCTTTTTGACTATAAAAACAGCCTTGGGTGACTCGCTTAGGTAGAGATGTTTACACTGCAGGTGTCTAAATGTATGTGAAATGAATTCCAGCAGGGGTGCATTAACTCTCTTATGTGCTCAGTTCCTAACATTTAAGGTTGTCTCCCTCTCTTTCTCATACTTATCTGTTTCTTAGCCTATTCTTGACACCTGCTGGACAGCTGTTTCCCACTTTTAATGGCTGCTTTTCAATTTCTGAGTTCCACATTTGCTTAATAACATTAATAACAGGCATTAAGACTTTTGGGAATGGATGTCTCTTTCCCATTTGTGAGAGTGACAAAAAGCCATATTACCTGTTGCATACACTTTACCAGATACTGTTCTGCTGTGTAAGGTAAATGTCTCCAGTAAATTACATTGTTGCTCAGTTACCAGGAACTATAAGTGTGTGAATAACTCACTTTTTAGTTTTCCTGTTGTATCAAAAGAGAAAAGGAAAAGCTTTAGGCATTAACCTGAAATAAGCATATTTCAATTTTTTGAATAAACCAGAAATCATAATAGCAGCAGCATTAATATGCATCAGTGTAAATATTACCAGTAATGTAACAGAATGGTGCATGTGTCACTGCTTGTAACTGTTATACGAGTTGAGCAGAATGTTCCATGTGATCTGACAAAATTGTTTCATTTTTATAACAATTTTATTAGCCTTTGATTCCTGTTAAATAAGTCTGAATCAAGCTTCAAACCAAAAGTAAAGTATAAAAATAAGGTTTTGTTGATAGTGTCAGCGCCTCTGAAAAAGTCTAAGTGCCTTGTGTTCAAATGGCCAAATCTGAAATTAGAGGAGTAAATCAGGTGCCTAAACATAGTTTTCTGCTATCATTTTAGCTGTCCTAGGATATCGAGGACTGACATGCATGAACCTGGCTAGTAGGACACTGTTGTAGCAACTGCAGACTAGGTGGAATATCAGAGGGAGTCTAAAATTACACTAGACAGGTATGATTAGGAACCCAGATTGTTCCCTAAATTTTTAGATTTGGATGTAAAAGTCTGAAAATTTTTGCTCTCTTCCCAATATTTCTTGCTTGTTACAATGTTGATGAGTACTACAATGTTTGTATTTTCTGGTGTGTGGAGTTGTAATTTGCTACTGTTAGCACTTAAGCTATGTGTATCTGCTTTGTTCAAATATTGTTTTATCAAATATGCTTTTGCTAGCACAACTTTCCTTGTTACTCCTATTTGGTGTGGGCCATTTCAACACTGATAAAAACTCAAAGAGCTGCTTTTGTTGATCCCCAAACCGATTTAAACCTGTGGAAGAAATGTGGAAGAAGAAGCAGAAGAGGTAATAGGAGCAAAGTTAATCATTTCTCCCCCAGTGGAAAAAACAGGTGATTCAGAAATGAAGGGTGGCCATCCATGGAATTGGCTAGCAAATGGAAAGAAGTCATTTGGATAGTTAACAATATCTTAAATCTGACTTTTATGATGTTTTATGCTAGTCAGCTCACAACATTGAC